CTGACCTGAGTTTTCCAGCGGCACACAAAACAGGAACACCTTCATGTAGCAACCAGATGCCATTGTGCGGGTCGACGCCGATCACACGTGAAGCAGTGGACCACACGGTTCCACCATGTTGGGTGTCACGACGGTAGACCACAAGGTCTCCAACCACAAATGACTTCTTGTTCTGGACTGCTGCATTCCTGGTCAATGCTCTTGCAACATGGGAACTTGTATCCAAATGAATAAATGCCTTTTGCGCAGCCATACGAGATGCATGACACAAATGATAGCTTGCTGCAGGGTCAAGCTTGTTCTCCAGAATGCCCAAGTTTCCTGCTTCATCCATGTCTGTGACAGATCCTGGAACTCTTGGGTTCCTTCCCAGGACCCATTGTGCTGGAGAATAGCCTTGGACTCTCTGTATGTGATTCTTCACGGAAGTGCATTCATGCAAGCATGTTTCAAATGCATTACGGCCAACGGCTTCCATGTCATGGATGGTCTTCCTGAGAATTGCCTTCAAGATACCTTGGTGCCTTTCAACCTTGCCAACGGCTGATGGTGTTTCCAGTGGTGCATAGAAAATCTCAACACCATGCGAAGCGAACAGCTTGGACACCTCACCTCGGTTGTGAACACCTCTATCCATGATTGCGGCCTTTGGGAATCCTGCCCAGCTAATCCATCTACGAAGAATGGCCTGTGCACATGCTTCTGACGTTGGCATACCTCCACCTTCTTTGACAACCTCTGACAAATGGAATCCTGTCGAAATGTCCAGCATCGTGAGAATGCTGTACTTGTTTCCTGCATAGTCCTTCATTTCTGTGACGTCAAGACCAAGCATGGCATTGAACTCATACTGGAAATTACTATTTCCTACCGGGTGGTCACGGGGACGTGGTGCAGTGTCTTCGCAGGACTGACAACGGACAAGACGTGCGGCTTCGATCAACTCCTTGCTTGCCTTACCTGCCTTTAAAATGTTCTTCAAAGTTGACGGTGTGGGATGTCCGAACTGCCGATGCAAGCGACGGATTGCAATGCGGGTCCTCTGGGGAAGCACGCCATAACTGTCTCCGCTTCTGCTCCGTCATGTCCGCTCCGGGCAATGCAAGTTGGTCTAGCATGAGTTCTTCCTGTTCTCTTGCCGACAATGGTTTTCCATCGTCTTGTCTGGTTTCCTGGGGAACTCTCTCAATGTCACTATCGTCAATTTCAGAGATGTCTTCAAGTTCGTCTGCAACAAAACATGTCCGTGCAAAATGTTCCAAATAGGTTTCTTCTGACATAGTGTTCAACATCTCTAGGAGTTTTGCTGATTTTGCATCCTCAAAACACTTTGGGATCATGTTCTCACCGCACCAACCTTCCAGCGCCTCCATGAGCTTGGGGCCTTGTTGGCCTGCCAGGGCAAATTCTAGGTCACCACCAAGGCAAATGGAATGCTCAACTGATATCTCGAGAAGTGGTGTGAAGAGAAGAAGGTTGCAGCCATACATGTCAACTTCCATGAGCATGTCATTCCAAATCCTCCTGGGGTCCGTGTTCTCCAAAAACAGTACGACCAAACCAGGGATCTTATTCGAAATGTGCTTGATGACCTCCTTGCGGGTCTTTACCCAGCTTGCACCTACATCGAATACCTTTGCACTCTGGGGTGCATTGATCAACATGTCATCCTTGACAATGACCATGTGTTGGACACTCAGCGGATTGTTCGAAACAAGTGCGTGCAAGACTGAGTCATTCTCTTGCATGGTCTGCAGGCCGGCGACGAACACTTGTTTTTCTCCCTTGTTCATAGTTCGATGATCCAGAGCTACGAATGCGTGACCTTCGCTGTCGGAGCTCAGTTCGATTTCTCCTTGGAAACGGCTCACGATGAACTTGTCTCGGTCGAGCACCTCACGCGAGCTGGTCGGACGATCCGGAGTGCTTCGTGTACTCATGGTAACTACGTCATCGTCTGACATTTCCTCTTTGGGTGCGTTCGACGGATCGATTGCGGTGCAGCCATGGAGCGGTTCAACAGCTTCTGCATCAACTGCATCTTCCGTGTTCTCCTCCTTGGGAATCTCACTTGCCGGTTCCACGGGTTCTGCCATCTCTGTAACCTCTGTCTTCGTGCGCTTTGAGGGTCCTTCATCAGGTTCGTTTTCATCATCTCCATTGTCATCAGGTTGATCCTGGTCATTATTACCATCTCCCTGATTGTCGCCTCCTGCGGGCACTTCTTCTTCTTCGACGTCTTCAAGTTCTACGAATGGGGGTGAGAAGATCAAGATCCTGCCCTTGACATACCAGTCAAGCTCTAGCGGCTGGTTCTCCAAACTGCCTCTCAACAATGACATCTCCCACTGGCCTTCAACATGTTCAAAACTCGACACCTGCCAACCATCATCTTTCATGTAGTCGGTGTAGTACGCTCTGCTGGGCTTCGCAGAGTGCTTGCCATGGTCATAGGTCTCATGCTGGACTACGATCTTCACATTGAGCTCGTGGTTCGACTTGGCGATCTCCTTGCTGGTGAGTGACGTCGAATCAGGGAAGAAGGGCCCTACCCAACGAAGGGCACAACGCGAGGCCTTCATTCCCAAATCTGGCACTGAATCCCAGATTCTGTCAAGCAATTCAAGCGGCATGTGTTCGAGATTCACTCGACGGTTCCATGGTACATCGCCTTCCACTGTAGGGAACTCAAGGTGCGATGGCCATGCACCCGTAGCCCTCGGGAAATGCGATGCTCCTGGGCGCTCCGATGAAGACACGTAGCGACGTTCATTCCAAGCCGACTGATCCGAGTCTCGGCTGGTTCCACGACCATAGCCATCTAGGTGGCGGTCCTTCCGGCTCTCTCGGAACCAACTTCGGAGGCGTCGGGATGCGACCAAATGAACGTGACCTTCTCCGCGACAAACTCCTGCTTCTTCCACGACGATCTCGGCTGCCATCGCGCCTCCTTCCGCGGTAGCTCTCTCGGCTATCTGACCGCGTCCTCCGGCGACGATCTCTTGAACGTGATCGCCTCCTTTCATGCTCACGATCCTGCATCTGCTTCACCTGCTGCGTCAACAACTCAACAGTCTGTAGCAAGGCCTGTGTCGTAGCATCAGGCTGGCTCGTTGTCACGGATTCACCTCTCGGTTCTGCCTGCCTGGAGGTCTCGGCCTTGTCACGACGACGAAGTTCAGCGTCTTCATTGTATCGACTCTCATCTTCTTCACGCGTTGGTGCTTCGGGCGCTGGTGCCTTTGGCGTTGCTGCAGCAAGAGGTGGATCTGGTGAAGCTGGCCTCACGGATCCTGGTCCTCTGTGAGACACGGTGTGTGTCTCTTTTGGCAATGAAGCTGATGCTTTCGCTGGGGCTGCCTTTACCACTGCAGGACGAATGAGTGGTGGTTTCCTTGAAGGTGGACACGGCGGTGGTGGCAACACTCGGGAACCAACAGGGGCTTGAGTCCTCCTGTCACCTTCTCGGGCCTCAATCTCAGAGTCAAACACGACTTGGCCAACATGGCTGTACATCGGTGTTGCCTTCAGGCCAAACTGCTTCAAGACATAGTCCCTCGACCTCAGGGCTGCTTCCAGAGCGTCCTTCGACTCATGGATGCACATGGCACATTTGCCCTTGCATGTGCCGCTCATCTGGTTCCATGAATTCTCCTGATTGGAATGTGTCAAGGTCAAGTGAGCTCCCGGGCATAGCTGCTTGAATGCCGTTGCAAGCAACCACCCAAAGGATACAGATCTGTGTCTGTTTCGCCTGCAATAAGCTATGACTGCCAACTGTTGCCCCTTCTCATGGCTTGCCTTCAAATGATGAAGTCCATATAGCAATGCTTCCATCGTCTTCTCACTGCCAGTCATCCCTCGAATGATCTCAGGATGGGTTCCAATGTGGGATCGCAATTGCGGGTCGTGTTGAGGATCTCCAAATCCCATGCAGTCGAACATCAGCAGTCAAACTGTCCCAAGATAGGCCCCAATGTGGCCAGACTCTTGGAGCGGTCGAAGTCCGCAATCTGCTTGTTGAATTCCTTTCCGCAAGTCAAGATATGCACGCAACCAGGATCATCCAGCGTGAAAGTGCCTCTGGTTGGGCGCTCTTCGTCAGCCATGAATTGAGCTGCTCACTGGCGAGGGTTGAGACCTCCCAGTTATAGGTGATGCGCTTACTCGGCTCGCGCTTCTTGTTCGCAGAAACAAGAATCGGGTCAAGGATGGTTAGGACAGCTCCGGTTCCTGGATCGGCATGTCGATCGCCCCGGAAGTTGCGGTTCGTGAACTGATTAGCATCGCACGCGATGACGTCCACCTGGTCTGCCACGGCCGTGATCAAAATCTTCATGATGGCGTTCTTGCCGGCCGTAATACCTGACTGAAAGGCATGAGCATTGATGTGGAAAGCGCAGACTCGAAGTTCAGGCATGCGCATGCGCTTGCAGTCATTCAGGCTCCCGGTCCGGAATGTCGGACACTCGTGGAACAATGCCTCTGCATCCACTGGCGACGATTCAATGTAAGTGGTGGATGCTTGTGCTACAGCTAAGGTGTCAGGGCAGACTGTTGCCTCCATGTTATCTGCTGGATCAGCGCCTTCTTCAAGAGCAACGCGGAGGTTCTTTCGGACTCCACGGTCATCGGTGATGCCTCCATCTGTGGATTCTTCGACCTTTCCCCAGAGCACGCGGAATGTCGCGGCATGGGCTACCCAGGCTAATCGTTCGCCTTCAAGTTCAATCCTACGGATGAGCTCCAGCCTTGAAGTGCCAAGTGGATCACTGGAGCAGACTGCTGCGATGGCAGGAGATTCGCCATCCGATGTAGCCAACACTGGTTACCTCATGCTCCTCTTGTTGTTCGACTACTGAGTCATCCGTCGCAGCTTCTTCTTCCCTATCTTCGGCACCCTCATTAACGGGCTTGGGTGAATCACAGCTGCTGATTTCATGCACCGGTGTCCCCTCCTCTCCGACTGAGGAGGTGACCGTACCAGCCGACGGTGCTGCTGGCTCAGATGCCTGGGTGGAACACACACACACACACTCACACCACCACCACCACACACACCGCCGTTGATTTCTCGACTCTCTCCGTCTGTGCTGCTAGGCCGAGCGCAATTTCTTTGGAATTCAAGCGATGTTTCCAGCTAGTAGAGCTAGGACAGCTTGTGCAAAAATGCAAAAACGTGCACCTAATTTCATGAAGAGGTTCTGGTTCAGCAAATACCTCATCGAGTACGGAGAATCCAGAGCATCCTCTTGGAATCGCTGGCGCCGGATCGGTGAATAGACTTTAAGATCAGTGTTGGATACCTTAGCGCACGGTGGGAATGAGATCGTTCATAGCGTGCAAGTGGGCGATGAATGATAAGAACAGAATAGTTTGCCTTCTAGGTGCGGGCCGTAGAGGAATACCACGCGTCCTGGCAGTTTTGGAAGCCTCCCTGTAGTACTCCGCCGTGGTGGATACCATGTAGTCCTGGCTCATTGAAGTGTGGACCGCCCTTCCACAATACCCGACACACGGACCCAACAAACCTTTTTGTGAAAAGGGCGCGTATTATTGTAAAAACTGTTGACTCAACACTCACAGTCTTTCGGTTCTGTACAGACCCAGCTCATGATGAAGTCTGACACCTTCTTGTACATGTCTTCAGGATTTGCAATCTCCACTACACTCTTCTTCAAAGTCAAAATCAAGTAGACCCTCTCCCTGGCTACACCAGCGTGCCCCTGATGGGCTGGCATCACGCGCAGGCACCGAATCCTGTAGTGCTTGGAATACAAGTACGTGATCATTCCCAAATCCAGGTCCTCGCAACACAAGAGGCCACGCCGGCAGGGGCAGGAGTCGCAAGAAGTGTGAATGTGTTAGAATTGGTGGTAGTCATGGCAATAACCAAGTTCAAGAATCTTCTCCAGCCTAATTCCTTATTTCCTTAATTCAGTATTTCCTTGTTTCCTTGTTTCAATCCTGTGAGAGCTGTTGTGGAAAGACCTTCTTATTCTACTTACCAATTTGTGCTTTTGAACATGCTTTAAGCAAATCCCTGTCCGGCACGTTCTCGATGATCAGCATTGGGGTTTGCCAAGCAGCATGAAACTTGGCATGGCTGCAGAAAACCATCGCTGAAAAGTCTGGGCAAGGTAGCCCACTCACATCCAGGTCCACTTCTCTAGCCCTCTTCCCAAAAATTGGACACTGGCGGTCATGCGTAAAGCAATATTGGGTGGTGCGAAGCTTGGCTTGGTTGATCTGGGCCGCCTTGGCTTCGAAACCGCTCTCAGGGTCAAAGCTGTTGCTTGGCATGATTTGAGTGAGGTCGCCGTGAACACATGGCTGTGAGTGATCGTTGGTCACTTTCCCCACACCAGCGAACATGATCCGCAATGAGCTGTCTGCAGCCCTTGTTGGTCTCCTTACTGGCGCGAGATTGGTATTCCGGTATTCTGCTTATATTGAGCGACCAATTGTTAGGTACCTAAGGTACGCTACTCTTCTCATGGTGGACACACACTGACCCCCAGCCGCGGGGCTTCTTCTGGGAGTGAGAAGGGCGAGAGGGCGGCGGGCGGCAAGTCCAAATTAATATTCCCACCCGGTCATTGAACTTCCTTCAAAAGAAAAAGGCACCTAGCAATGACCACTAGATGCATACAAGGATCATGCGCTCTGATGCTCGTAAATTCAACCATGCGGTCCAGTTCTTTGGAGGAATTGATTGTTTTCTGAATGACCGCTTGGCCCATCTCAGCGTGCCCCAGTGCAGGCTGAAGAAGTGGCATGAACTTGCACGAGCATGGACTCCTACGGGTGGAGCGATCCGAAATGCTCGCCCCTTTGTCTTTGTCGGAGGGTGTTTGGGGTGAAAACAACCATAATGTGCCCCCAATCACCTGAAACGTATTGAGCTGGGAAACTGGAAATAAGGACATAGGGAAATAATAGGGACTCAGGGAAATAGGGATTGTGAACGAAAGAGTCTTGAAATAATTCCAAAACCAGCTGGACATGAAGGGCAACAGGTTCATAGCGTCGGTTCATGTCATTGTCGTAAAACGTCGAGACAAGCTACTCAGCTTTTTTAACAACTTAACAACAAATGATCAACTGGACCAACAATAGGTTTTTTTATCTTGCACCATTCAAGAAGGGGCTGGCTCAATTCATCGAAAACAGACTAGTCGGGTCAGTCCTGCAAAGTGTTCTTCCCCAATTCTTTAAACAGGATGGCCCAGCAAAGCTGGACACACCGAGCAGCCCTGGTCAAATTGGATTCTGCTGCCAAATCCTGAGCTGAATGCCGGGAACAGCAAGATTTTTGTTTTGACCCTCCCGCCAAGTTCCACCTATCTAAAACCTATCTAACACTTCCCCTTCATACTGGTAACTTGCCACCATAATTCTTCCAACGGGTTGGTGCTGATTGACGACGTCGACGATTTGGTCCATTCAGGCGCTTCAGAATCTGTGAGGCTGACTGTGCTCACATTGTCATCGAAGTCATCAGTGGAAGCCATGGCCAAGCTTTCTTCAAGCTAGGTCAAGGTCAGGTGATAAAAAAGGGTTCAGTGTTTTGAAAAGTTCAGTGTTGAGTCAACGCTTACGATGATTATTGGACTTGGCTTCAGTTGGTTGACAATTGACCTTCTCTCACACGGTTTCACCGTTTCTGCTGGAATGCCACAGACGGACGTTGAAGCCACAACACTCGTGGATTTAGCTATGTTAGTGGCCATCTCAAATCAACGCACAAGGCACAGATAGAATCCAAACACACGTTATGTCCTTAATTCCTTAATTCTGGAGTATTACTGTCCGCAATCCAGTCTGACTGCGGCTATCCAAAAAGATCACCCGCAACTGACCGTCTAGGGTTCCCTGCAATGGGCGGTGCAAAAACGCCGCGGCCTTTCTCCGGAGAGAAAACCCACGTAAGCTCGAGCGGGCGTTTGGCCACAGAGGAGCCATCAGTGTATACCTGCAGCCGGTGTGGGGGAAATCACCACCGCTTGTAGGTCAATATTCATGGAATTTGGTCAATGGCTTCTGTCCCCCTGTTCTCTCGAACTCGGACTTTGAAGAAGGAAATTAAGGAATAGCGAGATAAACAAATCTTTTAGGCCGTGGGGTCTTTTTCAAGGATGGCACCAAACGCACGAGTCCACAGCCAATGCAGGCCAAAGTGCATGGTACTCTCGCACGCCTTTGAAAAAGGCCCGCGCAGTGCACCAGTAGATGAACTCAGCGCAGAACCCGGCACCAGGTGCTTTGGTTTTCCGGATTTGCTGCCTTCCCCTAACCCACACCCTTCTTTCCACTAAGGCTGGAATAAAGACATAGAGTGGGAATAAGGGTCTATTCCAGGATTGTTTCCCTAATCCCCAAAAGGGCATTGAATTGAAGTATATCATTAAAAAAACACATGAAAACAAAAAGGTGCAACATTATTTCTGGAAGATGTGACAATGCTTATTTCCTTAATTCCATTGCCCAGAAATAGGACACCCCCCAATGGAACGCCTGATTTGAAATCCTCTCAACGCGTCACTCACCCAGGAAATGACACCGAGGCACCATGATTGAAGCTGCAATCCCTGACGGGTTCACATTGGCGCCCACTTTGGTGGTGGCTGACTTGATGAACCTCTCCTCAGGTGTACCAATGCAAATAAGCGCAGACATACTTACTCCCTATGTCTTTTGTTTCCTACCTTTTTCTCACTCGTTGGGATTGGCCTACCAGGGAAGCGTGTAGGAAAGACGCAAGCTGAGAAACATGAATAGAAATAAGAAAATAGGGAACTAAGGAGATACAGGAATAAGACTTTGAGCAGTCACCAGTCGCCGTGTCAACGAACATGTACAGAACATCAATGATAAATTGATCCGAGCATCATCCCCAGACCAGATTTTGTTTGCAACCATTTCCACTGCAGCTTGAGAAACAGCTTGGGTCAATCGCTTCCGCTTTTGACCAGATCGAAAATGGGTTGTTGTTGAACTCATGTCTTCAACGCAGATATCGATCTCATAGGCCATCTCAGTCAGCAGCCTAAAAACGCTTGGCAGAGCGACATCTTGAAACTCTCTGGGATGCTGTGGATCCAGAGTGAAGGCGACCACATCCGAAAGAGAAACCAAGCGCTGTTCATCGAACAAAGCCATGACGTTCACCCATGTCTTCTCTGAATTCTTGAAGTCTTTCTTCCAAAGCGCCCGCGCACTCTCCATCCAGAAATTTCTACTAAAGAAACTCTGGATCATCACACGGCCACTGGCATCCAACTCTATGGACACGCGGTCAGGGTTCCGGCCCTGCTGGCCACACTTCACATGAGGAAAAGCACACTGCCCTTTGCAGTTCAATAGGCAAGCCAGCAACTGACTCAAGCCCTGGCGCGCAGATGAGCGATCCACGTCATGCATGTACTTGTAGTTCAGCCAGTAGGAAATAGCGGCGAACAGCCCCGACGTGCAAATTGTTTTTGTCTGAAGCCAGCTTTCTTGTTTCGAGCTTTCCGCCCCCTTCCCATGCTTGGGGCGCAGCAACTGAAATTCCTCTCCTGGCCACAAGCATTCATGGTATGTCCTGATGTGTTTCTCGTTCTGCTTGTCTTTGTCAAAATATTTGGCAGCCTGCGCACGGGAAGCGCTCCTTCTGAAAATGCACAAGGTGTCAGTCAAGCACCACTCACTCTGTAGTTTCCTGCTGCTGAACACCGTCACTGTCTGTCCCCCAAGCAGGAGCACACACGTCTTGCAGAACTCTCCTTTCCCCTCATCTTGGACAGGCAACGCAACGGAATGAGGACCCTCCATCCTAGATTCGCGCGGAAATAGTGGAATCAATGAATCTGGAGTAAGAGCTTAGTTCTGGCTTGAGCTGATGAACATAGACCCGTACTGGAATAAGGAAAAAGCGAAATAAGGAAATAGGGATGTTTGTTATTGCGGCGCCTCATTATGGCCAGTGCTGATGTGGAACCAATTATATAACAACATGGAAACACACCCTGTACAGGAATAAGGATATAAGGAAACAGGGAAATAGGAAAATAAAGAATTGGTTCTCCACTTTCATACTGCCTGTTGTTTTCCAACAGGATGATGGAAACAACCTCATCTTCATCTGCATCCATCCCCCCTCGCTTTGAGCCATGCCACTGGGTTCAATGCGATGCTTTTCACATCAGAGACACAGCTGAAATGGACACCTCTGAGTCTCCAAGCCTTTGGCTTCCTAAAACAAGAAGGGAATTAACAGCTCCATGTTTGATACGGTTTGTCCTTGCTTCAATCCAAAATCCCACCGTTTTCTCTAATTGATCACAGGTGTACCTGAAGCGCCAGATTTACACTCTGCAAGGCCTTTGAATGCGCAAGTTGATTGCTGACATAGCTTTCTCTCAAATCTCACACCATCGCCAACTCACAGGAAACACACACAGCTAGTAGGTTGGCATCGCTCTCAGGTTGGAGGACATCACAATTAGGTTACTGTGGCTACCAGGTTGGAGGCCGTTGCTAGTATGTTGGAGGCCATCGCTAGTAGGTTGGAGGCCATCGCTAGTAGGTTGGAGGCCATCGCTCTTAGTTAGTTTCCTCTTGCTCTTGGGTTGGAGGCCATTGCTGTAGTAGCGAATTGCATCCTCATGGGTCTGGTGCACTGGAGATTCTCAGCAAACAAAGCGTTCTTATTTCTTCTATTTCTGTTATTTCTGGGTAATGGAATTAGGGAAATAAGCATTTTCACGTTTTCCAGAAATAAGGTTGCAATTTCCTTGTTTCAGGCTTATTTCCAAATTTGATATGCTTCAACTTAATGCTTTTTTTAGCCGAAATAGACTTGGAATACAAATTTTCACCTCTATTCCCTTATTAATAGTGGCTTAGGGAAACAGGCCTGGAATAGACCCTTATTCCCAGTTCCTTTCTTTATTCCAGCCTTAGTGGAAAAGGGGGGGGTGGGTTAGAGGGGGGGTGTAAAACGTATGAGTGCACTCATCGCAAATCCATGGGTGCCCGCTTCTAAATCTCCGTCGGTTTCTTTATTATCCTGTCAGATTCAGATGCTTATTTTTCCTGCTTGTTTGTCTTCTTCTTGTTGTGCATTCTTCTTCTTCTCCTTCTTCTTCTTGTTCGTTCTTCCTTCTTCTGGTCTTGCGTCTTCTTTTTTCCTGCTCTTTGTTTGTTTCTTATTTTTCCTGTTTGCTTGTCCTGTTATGAAGAATCCTAGCGCCAATCTAGCGCTGCCTTACTGTATCACCATAGTCTGCCAGTCAGCTGCTTATTTTTCCTGCTTGCTTGTCTTCTTTTTGTTGTGCATTATTCTTCTTCTTCTCCTTCTCTGTCTTCTTGTTTGTTCTTCGTTTTTCTGGTCTTATATCTTCTTTTTTCCTTCTCTCTGCTCTCTGCTTGTTTCTTCTTTTTCCTGCTTGCTTATCCTGATATGAAGAAACATAGCGCCAATCTAGCGCTGCCTTGCTGTGTCACCATAGTCTGCTGGGGGGCCCGCTTCTAAACGAAGATCTTGCACTTCTATTAGTTTCTTATAAATTAATTCTTACTTATCACTTGCTACTTAATGCATGGACCACATTCATCAATAGAACCTCAAACTCAGACCTCAGATTCTGTGATTCCCTGAGCAGCTCAGCTCAGCCAACTAATTTAGTAAATGTGTTGTCAAGTTGTCTTTTCTCATTTTCTTCTTTCCTTCTCTTTCCTGTTCCTTCTCTTATGTGTCATTATGTTTTTGGATTCTCATTTCATGGAGACAGGAGACATGGAGAATATGCATTTAGCCTCATTACAATCAACTGAACCTGGTCCATATGAGTTTATAGAGAGGTGTGTGTGACCTGCAAAAGTTTGAAGCCTGGTTTCTGCTTTATACACCTGGATACCGTGAACCTGGGTTCTGATTTCATGTAGAATGTACAATGTAGTTTGATGTTAATCAGCTGAAACTGGTCCACATTCCCACCTTGTGTTCCGCCATGGCGTTTGCGACCCTAAGTTTAGTACTTCACTAAGATTCCACTGCCTTCATTTCATGAGCATTGTTCATCTTGCTTGATTCCCGTTCTTTTTGAACTTTTTTGACTCAGTGTGTAAACATGAATTTCACAGACTTCCACCAAACACCTGACTTTGTTTTAAAAGAAAGCCTAGTGGCACCCAGGCGTCTGAACACCCTAAAACAGTGATATTTTTTATTTCATTCGCGAAATTTGCCATACTTTCCCCCTTCTTGCTTAACCCTGTCAAAGGCACACCAAACTTTATCCACTTCTTTTCCACTAATTTTCAATATATATATATATTCCTCCAGTTTTCTTTTCAAGTTTCTCTCAGGAAAGCCGGTTCAAAATCAAGCACTTACCTTTTCTCACGATGCATGGTTGGATTCGTGGCTGTGCTTGGGCGTATACATTGCCCGAGTGAAACGTATCTTGAACAGCTTCTTGGTTCACTGTTTCTTCACCCACTGTGTGCACAACCTGCTGGACAAGAGTGTCAACGCAGTGTCAAGTCTCATATCTTGTGA